TGTGAATACACCTGGGTTCCTGACGCTCCACCGCGGCACAAGCGTGACACCAGAGCGGCTCCGAACGCCCCAGAGCAAGACAAGTGTGAAAACAGATAGGGCCCTGACGCACCAGATCGGGACAAACGTGAAACCACATGGGTGCCTAACGCCCCGGGCGGGACAAGCGTGAAAACACATGGGCCGCTAACGACCCAGAGCGGGACAAGCGTGAAATCTCATGGGGTCTTAACGCACCAGAGCAGGACGAACGTGAAAACACATGGGTTCCTGACGGCCCCAAGCAACACAAATATGACAACTGATGGGTTCCCCATTTAAAACGGGGCAAGCGTGAAACCACACAAGTTCCTGATGCCCCACAGCGAGACAACTATGAAAAAAACATGGTTCCTAATGCACCAGAGCGGGGCAATCGTGAAAGCACGTGGGTTCTTAACGCCCCATTGCGGGACAAACATGAAAACACATGGGTTCCGAGTGCCCCAAAAGCGGGACGGCGTATGCCCCTCCCCCCTCGGCGCGTCCCCTGGCTCGTTCTGTGTCGCGTTCCCTGGTGTTCCCCTGGCGCTGTCCCTGCCCGTTCCATGGCGCGTCCCTTGCCACGTGCCCTGGCACGTCACCTGGCGCATCCCCGTGCGTGCCCCTGGCAGCCCGTGGCGCGTCCATGCGCCCTGCGCTCCGTGTCATCTCGTCCCGATTCGGAACTGAATCCGATCTTGAGCTCCAGCTGATTGAGCGTCTCACATGTTTCGGCTGCAACCAGCTCTGGGCCAGCTATGCGCTCAGGCAGCTAGAGCTTAAGATCCAAACCAATTCGGTCAGGGTTCGGACACACCAAGGGCGACACGACCCGCAACACTATAGAACACAACGAAAGTTCATCGCGGCATGGGACAGGTAATTTCCGCACGGCACGGCGCAGCACAATCCTTCGCACCGTACATCACGACCGATGCCTTCAACATTGCAATTGCCTGTCGCCCAATGACGTGTCTTGAATACGCAGCCATGCCTCGCGTTTCTCAATCATTCTCTGGGTTCGTGGGTCGATCACGTTTGCCTCCTGGGACCCTCTGGGGAACGCTCGTCGAGTTCACTTGGGCCGCCTTGAAGCTATCTGGGACCGTCCAGAAGCCACGCGGGACATCTGGAAACCTTCTGGGGTCTCTTCGCGGCCACTTAAGGCAGCCTGGGCGGCTCTCGGGCCGCTGGAGAGAGCCTCCAGGGATCCCGGAACATCCATGGCGACCAGAGGCCACAGGGAGAAGACCCCCGACCCTGCACTCATATATATATATATATATACATATATACATATATATATACATATATATATTTATATATACATTTATACATATGACAGATGTATAAAGGAACGACGGCGAAGAGACGACACGAAAGGAGACTGCGGAAGAGGATGGAGAGGGGCAGGGGGAATGGAGTGAAAAGGCGCACCCCGCCTGCTGTGCATCCCGCGCACCGCCCCGTCGGCCGTCCACGCAGCACGGCTCGCCATCCACATCCCAGCAGGAGAAGGAGAAGGGAGGCGCTCTGCCGCAGCAGCTCCTGATAGGTATCGGTACATGTATGTGCTATCCGAGCTGTCTTTGGTTAGTCCAAGGCATTACCAGACGGCGCCGGCGCGGATCGTGACGTTACTGGCCCCCTCCCACCCGCTCCCCCTTCAACGCCAGACATCACCCGGGAGTAAAGAAACGCTCTCCGTCCACATCACGAGCAGGCGGCAGTCTGCAGGCTGCACTTTTCAATGTCGCGCGTAAGAGAAAATCATACCTGTCGGCGCGCAGACGGGGGGTGGCGCGAAGGGGGAAGCCTTCTAAGAAGGCGGAGAGGCAGGGCTCTTCTCACAGGCGCGCGGATGTTTCAAAGAAGGCCTCTTACGGTCGGGCACTGATTGATAGCGTGTCGCCGCGGCAGCCCCGTCGACACGCTGTTCCTTGTAATCGGATAGCGTGTCACTCCGCTCCGCGGGGCGGAAGGCCCGAGAAAGCTCGGAAGTTGGCGCTGGGGGACCAGGATGTGGATAGCGTGTCGCGCCGAAGCGCAGTGAGTCAGGACTGGCGACACGCTATCCAAAAGAGCCGGGAGGGTTTCTAAGAAGCCACCTGAAATCTCAGAAGCCCAGCCGCCTTCTCAACAGGTCAACCTTCTCGCGCCACCCCCTGGTTTGCACTGCCAACATACAGCCAGCACGCGCCGGCCCACGCCAGCACCTGGCGGGAAAGGCGGCAGCACTGTTCAACAGTGCTGGCAGCTCCGCCAATCTCCTAGCATTGGAAGCGTGGAAATTGGCACCAAAACCAATTCAGGGGGACCAACTCAGGGGGGTGCCTCCACGAAGGGGAGATGATCCTAGGTTCGGGCGTTGGTGGTAACATTTTGGCCCCCTAGGAAGCCCGAGTATCATCACCACCGCCACCGAGATCGGGATGATCTTCCCTTGGTGGAGGCACACCGCCAATATTGGTGTTGGTGTCGACCTCAAGGCCTCCGATAACAAAAAATAGTTCGAGCCCGGGCATTGGCGCAGTGATTGGAGGGTGGCGGCGACTGGTTCCGCGGTGAGGACTCTCGAATTCTTTCTTCCGAAGAACAACGATCGCTGATTTCCCGGACCGGTGCCCATTTTGCTTTGTTCGATTCGCGCTCCGCGCCCCCAATGGGGACTTGGACCCTGCTATCTCACAGAAAAAACTGTGTGCTCGAACTGTGTTCTTGGGCCCCCGAACTACAATAACAACGGCTCCCTCCGCCAAAAGCTTCCTCACAACTTATTCAGGAGCCGCTTTCTCGTTTGAGACATCAGTGCTGTTTACTCAGGAGTCGCGCTCTCGCCCAGGACTTTCTTGAAATTTACCCAGGCGCTTCGCTATCGGCGCACAGGAGCCGCGCTCTCCAACGAAGACTTCTTAATAATCTACTCAAGATTCGTGCTCTTGCTGGGTGCTTTTATCACTATGTGCGAAGTTCGCCTCAGCGCCGCGTCCGCCCAACCCGCATGCTAGGGGTCCGCGCCCCCCGACCCGACCGTCAAGGTTTGCCCGTTCGCCTGCTTGGCTCCAATGTCCCGCCCAACCCGCTCGCTTGGGTCCGCCCGCCCGACCCGCCCGCTAAGCTCCGTCCGCCCGACCCGCCCGTGAGGGACCGCCGCCCGGCTCGTTAGGCTCCGCCCGCTTGTTTGATGGGAGGCCCACCCGCCCGCGTAGTGCCCCGCCCGCCCAGCCCGCCTGTTAGGGTCCACCCGCCCGACCCGGCCAATGGGGTCCGCCCGCCCAGCCCGTCGGTTTGAGCCCGCCTGTCACTGCCCCCTCCTGCCAGATCACTCTCGTCCTCAACCCTTCGCACTACATCCGAGTTCCGTTCTCGGCTTCCCCCCCCTGCCTCGCTCCCTCCCACCTTCCCTCCTCCCTCTTCTTTTCTCAGGGGCCGCGCCAACTGCACGTGACAAGCAAATAACATTCACCGCATCGTAGAACCCAAAGGGAGGTGCGAGCGAAGACGAAGAAGGCGGGCACCGATGGCTTGGGGTATACACACTGAGTGGCACGACAGCAGCGAATACCGAACATGACTCGCATGATCGCTCTAATTATCGGTGTTGTTTAAGGCTGAACCTAAACGGTGTTTTTCGTTTTCGTTTCGTTTTCGTTGTCCCTCGCTGATGTCTCGAATCCGCCTCTACCGCAAAACGAAGTCGAAACGGAAACGGCCCACGAAATCACCAAAAACAACGTTTAGGTCCAGCCCTGTTGTGGTTTGTCGCCCTGTCCCATGACCCACCCGCCACCAAATCGCCACCCGCCCGCGACTCATCTGCTACCCGGCCGACCCGCCCGCGACCCACCCGCGGCCCGCCCGCCCTCCACATCCAGGGCCCTCCGACCATCCTTCACAATGGCCCCCCTGGAGTATCATGCAAATGCCCCAGCATTACTCCGCACATGGACACCCGCAACCCACGAAGATGGCCCCCATCAACCTCTCAGGGCTTCCTATAGCTCCTGTACCTCGTTAGAGGGTGAAAGTGGCGAGGGGGCGGGACAGGAGAGGAGCAGGTTGAGTGTGGATGGAGGGCCCAACATCCGAGGTCGTGATTGTTTTCGCAACGCGGCTGCCCATAATCTGGACCCCTTCCCGGGGACCTGCTCTTCATCCCGGGTCGTTTCCTGCACGGCCCCGCTGAAGCACCCCCCGAGGCCGAAGAATACCAGGAGGCTTCCGTCATGATTTTCCCACGGCGCGGGGGTGTCTGCGGAGGACGGGGACGGGACTGGGATGGGGGCCCTGCGGCGTTGCGGCGGAACGAGGGGTCCGAGAGGGGTGGGCAGGTTTAGCACATCATGGCCCGAGGCGCGTGCGCGGACGAGGGGGGCCAGGGGACGCGCCGAGAGAAGAAGAGAAGGCGATAACACCTGCGAGGTCGCATGGCCCTAACCATTATATCCATATACCCTCGTCCTCATTCCCCTCTTGGACGCCCCCGCCACTCTTTGAGAGAGGAGAGGAGGGGCGCCTGGGACGAACAAAAAGACACTCCGATCGGAGAACTGACGAACATCAGCGGGCAAAGGACGACACGTGCACCATGAACTGTTCCCTCGTGGGCGCCTGTCCAAGGGCAGGCTGGAAAGCTTGCACACCCCACGACGGCAGATGGGGGGATGGCAGTTTCAGCCGCCCTGGGACAAGGGCCCCCGATGGCGGGAAAGATCACATTGTACCGTGCATCGCCCGCCAAGAAAACCTGTGCACATCGCACACCCAGCGCGAGACTTTGTAACGCTGGTGCATCTTTATATGTAAGTGCTGCTGCGACCTACCAAGAGCACGTGCACATGGCAACGACCAGGGTGAATCGTCGAAGGTCGGTTCCACTCATGCATTGGCCCAAGGGAAGGAAAACAAGACCGCGCAACGTTCAGGGAATGCTGTAGCTTAGAGGAGCTTGTAGTTCGAATTGCCACCGGGCCACTGGCTCACCACGACGACATCGCCACCGCATGAGACGGCGTCTTCGTTGCGGCGTCGAACCTGCTTTGTATCAGATCAGCAAGGTCCTGCATCGTCTTCAGTCGCGCCGTCCCCATGTCGGGCAACTCGATGTCGACCGCGTCGGGCAAGTCTACCTCAAACTGCTCCTCCAAAGCAACCACGGTGCTCACGACGTCCAGCGAGTCGGCACCGAGAGCCGAGAACGTCGAGCAACCTGTCACCTTGCTTTTGTCGACCCCGAGTTGAGCGGAGACCACCTGGGCCACCGTGCTCATGGTCTCGCGCGTGGCCACGGCGGCCCTGCGCCTCCAAGCTGACTGCAGCTCCTTCCGCATGATGGGCGGCTTGTGCTGCAGAGCTGGCTGGAAGAAGGAACAGCGGCATGCACGTAAACTTTCAGAGGTCCGCGCGGACTTCTTGGGTCGGCGCTGGAGCCCATCCCTGGCGCGCGGAGCGCGCCAGGGGCGGCGACGGAGGCGCCGCCAGGGGGGCCCAACGACGATCCCACAAATCCGCGCGAACCTCCGAAAATGGATGGTCATGCAGTTTTTCTTCTCCGACTGGAGCGACAGATCCGTCACGGCACAGCGCTGTGGCGGCAGCGACAACTGCGGCCAGGGCAGCGAGGGCGCTGAACCTGGAGCGCGCCATCCGTCTGAGAGGCAGGCGCCTGATGAGCTGAGGGCAAAATGCTTGAGCCAAAACGGCTGTTTTGGTCCAGCGGTGATGATGGGTACTGCCCCAGAGACACGTGATAGCGAAACTCAGAAGACGGCGTGAGCCCCAGATCCGAGCATTTAGTCACAAAAGACGACGAGAAGCGACGCTTAGCGAAGACCGCAAAGAACAGGGTTAATAGCGGTGAGTTCGATGAATGAGCGAGGCCCCCGAAACACAAAAGTCAAGAAAATGACGTCGAAAGCGAGTCGCTTTGAGCAAATTTAAAAACTTTCGGGGACGCGCCACCCCGTGTCAGCGCAGACCCGTGTCAGCCTGGGCCCTGTCGCGAAGCTGGGCTGGCCGCTCAGTAGTTCTTCACAGGGCCCCTCTGTAGGGCACAAAAAGTACACCTTTCTTCACCCCCTAATTCGGGAAACAAAGAGGTACCGATACCGCTGCGCCCCCGACCTCTCCAGGGGTGCGCTCTGACCAGGATTTCGAAGCGAATCCAGCGGTGGCGACGAAGGCCTCCCCAGAGGCCCAAAAAGGCGAACACGAGGGATAGGCACGGGTTCCGGTACCTTTTCCTCCTCTGACCCGTTAGTCGCCCCCATTTGGGGCAACGCCCTAAGTTTCTAGTTCCTTGCGTCGCAGGGACAGCCGTCCACCCTTGTGGCGCTGGCGCGATCGATCCCGGCGGTGCGCCCTCCACTCGGAGTCTGGGCCGCCCCGCGACCTGGGCGAAGCGGGGACCTCGCTGCAATCGGGCAGCACGCAAGAGTGACCCCGGGCAAGAGTGACCTTTGCTGCACGACTTTAATGAAGGGCCCAGGGACACACAAATAAATTGACACCAATCCCAAAGTTTCTTATATTTTTCACATTTTCGGGAGAGTCGTCTTCTCCCCCACTTCCCAAATGTTCCCATGTCTTCCTGGGGATCGGTATTTATTTGTGTCTGTGTCTTGTTACCTCCTGATTTGGAGGGGGCGCGAGAGGGCCCAAACCAAGCGCGCAGGCCGCTACCACCGCTTCTCATGTCGGGAACGGCGAGTCGTTCTAGTTCGAGAAGAAGAGTTTCGACGGCTGCTGGGGCGCCTCATGTCGAGCTGGGGTGCCACAGGTCTGGCTGGGGGGGAGCCGCAAGTCACAAATCTAGGACAACCAACCCCGTGACCTTTTCCAACGAAGCCCTGTTGGAAGATCCCGATCATTCAGCGATCGGTCACTCCAGAGGGTTCGTTCGAAGGTAATGATCATACGGTGGTGTTGATAATGGTAGCACCCATGGTAACGGTGATGGTTCTGATGCTAGTGATGACGATGATGATGGTGTTGATGCTGACGGCGTTAACGATGATGTTGGTGATGCTGATAACGCGGGTGATGATGATGGTGATGGCGAGTGGGAATATGATAATGATACTGATGGTGATGATGGTGGTGAAACTGATGGCGGGCATGGCAATGATGACGACGATAAACATGATGATGCGGATGCAAATAATGATAATGCTGATCATGATGCCGGTAATGATGATGATGATGCACTTCCTGTTGATGATGGCCATGTCCCCCGGTAGCGCTGACCCCCGTTACGAAAACCCCCAAACCCCACTCGGAGGTCCCTCCCAACGAATGGTCCCTCTTGCGTGTGCCGATATGGTCAATCGCGCACCGCGGCTGGCTGCAAGGTGGGCGCGTCCGAGACAAGATCGCGGTCGGGTTCCGCCCTCCTGTTAGGTGGCGGCCTCCGAACGGTGCCCCACCGACTCTCGACTGTCCCACATCGTATCTATCTATGTTCGTGCCCAGCTCGGGCGTGCCAGCCAGTCCGTGGATGCCCGCGCGGCGTTGGGAAAACTGCGGGTGCTTCGGCTCACTGCGACCACCTGCAAGACTGGCGCCCGTCCAGCGCACCGTGTTCGGACCCCCATCAAGGCCCTGCTCCAACGCGGCACAGTGCATAGCGTTCAGCTCCCAGTGCCACGAGACTGCGCACCGTATCTTTTTGGGGTCGACGGTCGGCGACGCCTCGGGAGACTGCCGCGGCACGGTGCGCACGCGTCGCCCGTGGACCGCCGACCGACGATAGCGCGCGAAGAAGCGCTCAGCGGAAAGATCGCACCGCCACCAAGTGCTCATCTCCCTTGCAACGCCTCCCTTGCCATCGCTCGGAGGTCCATTCCACGTGTATTGTTCGACTTCGTACGCTTGTTTTTCGACAATGATCCAAGGTGCACCCGAATGGTTCCCGCGAAGAAAAAATGCACACGTCCGAGCGATGTCAAGCTCCTGCCACGCGCCTCGGTGCCGCAGTCGGTGCGCGCAGTCGCAAATGCCGCTGAGCTTGTCTGGCGTAGCACACACCATCAGATAACTTACGCTGCGCAATCCTTCGCACGCGAAATTCCGCGACCCCATATTTTTGGCAACGCGCGCGCTGAGCGGTCGTGGCGCCGCGCAACGGCGCCCAACGCCTCGAGAGGCGGCGCCCGGCTCAGGCGTCCGCGGCTCGACAAAACGCGCCGCAACGGCACGACCGGCCGGAGCTACCCTTGACAGCTGCTGCCCAGGGGGGCCTCCTGCACCTCAACGGTCTGAGTTAGCCTGCGGGATGGGAACGTCGAGTCAAGCGGCCGTGCGCCCAATGGAGCGTCGGTTTGGCGCTAAATTACGAATGAATGTCCATGTGTTCTCTCAAAATTATGCTCGCCTTAGGCGAGATCCTCCTCCTATCTGCGACCTTGCCCTGCGACCTCGCCCAGCTTGGGAATGGAAAACGGTGGCAAGAAGCCGCACGGTAGACGTTACGCCGCGCCCTGAAACCAGTGGCGCCTGGAGGGGGAGGAGGAGGAGGAGGAGGAGGAAGGAAACTCGCGCACCGAGGAAATTGCAGACCCTTTCTGAGTGTCTGTGTGTGCGCGTGTCTGCGAGTGCCATCTTTGCGCTGAGCCATCGTCTTCTTTATATCGCCCTGACTCTAACAGATATTACCCCATGGGCCATGGGATCCAGGGACCATGAACGATCAGGAGCTCAAGGGATGACGGCGAGGAGCAGGGACGAGACGGGAGGGAGAGAGGGAGAGTCGGTAAGAGGGGGCGGGGATGAGAAAGGAGGAGGAGGCAGGAAGACGAAGG